GTCTTCAAACTTGACACCTTTAAGACTTGTGGACTTCAACTCCCAGAATTCCTTCTCCAATCCTGTTATCTCGGGAATTCTGGGAGTTGAAGTCCAAAAGTTTTAAACTTACCAGGTTTGAAGACTTTTCTGCCTTCTGCACAGAGGTGGATTTGAAGCTGTACAGATGCAGATAGATAACTCAACAAGACATCCATAACAAATTACATTTATTGGTTCATCAGGTATCCTCATAACTCATGTTTGTGATGAAGTTCTTCTTTAATGACCAATCCTTTGTATATCTGCCTTGTAGTAAAAGATGGTGATCTCCTAACCCCCATCTCGTAGCGATAGAAAGCAGCTCCCATTAGTTAGGGAGTTTAGGCAAAAGTGAGGGAAACTCCCCCCAACCCATCAAGGGTCAAATTAGTGACCAATCAGGATTAGAGATGTGGCCAAATGACATGAACTACATTTCCCAGGATGCATTCCCTTAAGGGGACAGCTTCATAATTCAAAGTCAGCGTGCAGTGCTGTGCAGTTGACACTCATCCTTGGTTTTGGTTGCTGTTCGGCAGTCTGCTGAGGAGCCCTGTGTGCTTCTGTTTTACATTGAGGCTCCTTATCCAAAGGAGGGCTACAAGATATCTGCAGTGGCGGCTCGGAGTCTGGATGCAGTGCGGTCGGGTGCTGGTCACTATGGAATAAGTCGAATCGCACCTTGGCTGTGCAGTATTTGGATGGGTGTTTAGATTCGCAACACTTGTAGCAGTAGTGGTACTCCCTTAGCAACACTTTTTGTTGGGTCAGTGATTTCGCTGCACACCCAGTGCAGCTATTCAGCGAGTGACAAGTGTGGTGCATAGGACAAAACTGGTTTCTCCTTGTAATGGGAGATCTAAATTAGGGTGGATGGGGTGAGGTAGCAGGTGAACTCTTGATGGTTGAGGAACGTACCTCGGTCTTATCGACAGCCATGAAGGGTCTTTCCCTGGTAGTGTGCATAGGGCCTGAGGGCGATATATGGTTGCTGTTGTATCTTCTGACATTAGGAGGACTAACAGCTCTGAGTCCACGGGCCCAGTGTATGTTGTACACTGTCGCCTGGTGTGACACAAATTCTTCAAGAAGTATAAAGGGTACAAAGCGGTGGCGATCCTTGGCCATGAAGGTGTCAGTCAACTGGAGCCACTTTTCAATTAGCACCTGCGGAAGTTTTTTAACAATTTTGTTCTGCATGTCGACGTGATCGAGACAGGCGAGTGCCAGTAAGTTGGGATCCTGTTGTGCCATTCTCAGCTGGACAAGTATGTTAGTGAGGTATATGATTTGGTGAGGCTTGTCGATAGGAATTTTAGGAAATCTGTTGATGCTATCCAAGAGTGTTGCTTCTATGTCCTCGGAAGCGCCATATAGTTCATCAAGCCTTTACCATGATAACCGTAGGGTACTGGCTGGGTCATCTAAGTGGGATGCCAAAAGTGCCCTGGGTATGTCAGCAGACTGTGGTCCTAACCACGCTATCAAGTGTCTGATTATTTCATCAGGGTTCAGGCGTGCCGCCTGAATGGGGCACAGGTAGAGTTTCTTCCATACTAGATACTCGCTGCCTGGCTTGTCAGAGAATCTGCAAACTCCGTTGGCATGCAAATTTAGCTTTCCACTCTGTACAGCCAAGTTTGCTGAGTTGGGGGGAGGTATTGACATCGAGGGTTCTCCCACTGGATTCTCATAGGGTGGGTTCAGGTTGTAAGTCAACAACGGGTTGTAGTCTTCCTCCTAGTACTTATGGAAGATGTTGTTCTCCCATACTGGGGACGATGGTCGAGCGTCACGCTGATGTGTAGGCTGGGCGCAGTTACCTTGTGGTGCCTGGGAGCCGGATTGGTATTGAGGTTGTGGCAGGAATGCTGCTCCCTTTGGCCTGAGTGTGGCAGTTGTCGTTGAAGGCATGTTGACTCGTCAAGAAGTTGTTGTAAGCACTGGTGGGCTAAGTTGCTCAGCCAACACAGCGTGAGACATTGCAGTAGGGTTGCTGGTGCTGGGAAGAGAATCTCGGACCTTAGTACATACAACATCAGTTGGGGAAGGTTTGCTGTTGGTAGGAAGTGAATCTCGTACTTTAGGTCGTACAACGTCAGATGCGTAACTGATGTGTAAAGTCTGTGGTTGAGATTCATCCCAGTGCTTCCCTGCTTGTGGGAGACTGCTAGGTAACTGAGGCGGTTCCATCTGCTCGTTTAGAAGCGGGTGCTCCTCATCCACGTAGGCCTTGACCCGTTTATCTTGGCTCTCTTCTCCCAAGTCTTTGAGGTCGAAGTTGAGGGAGGCAGCACTGGCTGCCTTCTGCCATGCTGCAGCCCGTGCTGTTTTCACTGCCACCTCTGTTGTTTGAGTAACTTGACTTGGGCCTGAGTTTTGGCTATTTCTGCCTGTTGTTTGGCCATTTCTTCTTGTTGTTTGGCCATTTCTGCTTTCTGCCGTATCACCTCTGTCGTAATACATAAATCTGCCTCTGCTGCTGCAGCTTCAACTTGGGCTTCTACAGCTCTTTCGGCGTAACTTGCTGCTTTGGAGGCCTTAGATGCGCCACTGCGACGGGAGGATACTCTGGAAAGATGGTGAGAGCCGGCAGCAGAGGATTGGTGAAAGACACTGGAAGCTGCTTGCGATCTAGCAGGTTTGGGATGGAGGGAGAAGGCTTTCTTTGAGTGGTGGGAAAAAGCTGCTTGTGATTGAAGATCTCTGTCAGATGTGGTCTTCTCCCTAGGTATTTGCTCCTTCTGTAGCGCAACAAGGAGCATGGCCTGGAGGGAGTTTCTGCCTTCCTGAATGCTGTCTTCACGTTCTTTGTTTGCCTCCTTGAAGCAATGAATGTGTTCTTGGAACTCTGGGTCTTCCAGGTTCGATTGTATATATTTAAGCTTATTTTCACTTTCTCTCTATCGTGCGAGGTGTTCCTTCTGCATCAGGAAGAGGCTCTCGAGGGACAACTTGCTTTTGGGGGTGTCACAGATCTTGACCAGCTCCGTCCATGCATCTGCATGACGGTGATACTGCCTTTCCCAATTCTCTCTGAAGTGTGTCACTGTGGATGAGGTAAGCTTCCTATGTTGTCTGAGGTCGTAGGTCTTCTGAGGTATCGCAGCTTCTCCAGAGAACTGGACATCTAAAACTGGGTTTTGGGAATCAGGCTCCATGTTTACAACAAGGGTGGGTGGAGGAATTGGGTCTTCTGGTACATCAGAGACATCTGTCATGGCTGATGAAGTTGCCATGCTTCAAATTGGCAAAGGGAGAAATTTGGAAAATTTTAGTGGTTTTCCATGCAATTCCCTTTTTTGTACTGGGGGCGCTGCAAGCAGGTAGCAGAAAGTAGAATTGCTGCTGGATTTAATACTTGAGCGTGTAGGTGGCACTGCAGTCTGGGCAATGCTAGCACAACACAGAATATGGCTGCTTCTAGGGGGCGTTGTGAGCTTGCAACAGAAGGGGGCACTAGAGGTTGAGTCACAAAGTCTGAAGATAGAGGGCTGAATGCAGAAATATGCCTATAATTGTTGCTTGCTTCACAAGGTAGCAGCAGAGGGTCTGGAAGATGCTGTTGCTATGCCCATGTTAGGTTGCAGTTACTCTTAGGACCTTTGAATCAAGTTGATTAAATGGTGCACAATAGTTGCAAAAAGGGGTTATCATTGGAGAAACACTCTGGTCAATATTTGAGAAACTGTGTAAAAAAAATCAAAGTCTGGGAAATTTCTCCTTGAGCCCCAGATGTAGCTGTGGGCTGCATTGCTTAGGTCTCACTTTGTGGAAGAAAAAAGAGGGGGGAGAATTTCCTGCCTACTCTTGAAAAAAAGGAAAAAATAGGAAGAATTATTTGACTTCACTGTAAATTTCTTCTTGACCACCAGATAGGGATGTAGGCTGCTTTACTTGAGTCTGTTAGGTTGCAGTTAATTTTGGAACATTTGAATTAAATTGATTAAATTGTCCACAAGAATTGCAAAAAGGGGTCATCAATGGATAAACACTCTGGTCAATCTTGAGAGACTTTGTAAAAAAAAAATCATAGCAAAAGGCAAGATGCTGTCTTTGTTTAAATCATTGCTAGATTAAGTGTCTCTCTTCAGGGGGAAGGAATGTGCCCATTGCTGTGGAGACGGCTCTGGCCAGAGGAATGTTTACAACTGTGGCCTTTTTATTGCTTTGTCAGAGGAGCAGAGGAAGATCAGCTTTGTTTTACCAACAAACATACAGGCATGATTTCCCAGAGTCTCTCACTGCATTTATAGAAGGTTTAAAGACAGAGGTTTGGTTTTCCTTTGAGAGCTGGGAAATATCTGATTCTCCTTGTTATGCAAATGCTGTACAGATGCAGATAGATAACTCAACAAGACGTTCATAACAAATTACATTTATTGGTTCATCAGGTATCCCCATAACTCAAGTTTGTGATGAAGTTCTTTAATGACCAATCCTTTGTATATCTGCCTTGTAGTAAAAGATGGTTATCTCCTAACCCATCTCGTAGTGATAGAAAGCAGCTCCCATGAGTTAGGGAGTTCAAGCAAAAGTAAGGGAAACTCCCCCCCAACCCATCAAGGGTCAAATTAGTGACCAATCGGGATTACAGATGTTGCCACGTGACATGAACTACATTTCCCAGGATGCATTCCCTTAAGGGGACAGCTCATAATTCCTAAGTAACTATCCAATTCCCATAGACTGGCTGGGACAGCACAAAGACCCTTGATATAGATGATTAACAGATAGCTATAGATTTTGATTAGAGAGACAGATGATAGATAGGATAAATGATGTCTGGAATTCAATGTCTGGAACTCCACAAGTCTTAAGCTTGCCAAGTTTTTTTTTTTTTAGTTAAGATTGAATTAATTTATTAAGTGGGGTAATAAACAAACATACCATGAAGATAAAATAATTATGTTAATTTTACAAGATACATCATGAGGAGGCCATAGTAGGTTCACACATTGATAAAGCTTCAGGGCCATCTATTGATTGTGCAAATTCACTGAGAAGATTATTTTCTCATTCTCATTCTTCCTTAACCACTCCTTGACTGTTGTAAGTGCAATGACTGCAGCTGGCTCATTTGGAAAATCATAAATGCCTGTTGAGATACATGGAAAAGCAATTGATCTGATGAGTTTCTCTTTTGCCAGTTTCAAAGAGATTTTATAGCAATTTGCCAGATCTTCTTTATGGATATTACTTATATGTCCTCGAGCTATAGGGCCCACAGTGTGAATGACATATTTTGCTGGTAGGTCATAACCACACGTGATTTTGGCTTGTCCAGTTTCAGTCACTCAGACTGCGGCATTCAGCAACCAAACAAGGACCAGCAGCTCTGTGTATACATCCATCCATACCACCTCCTCCAAGAAGACTTGAATTTGCAGCATTAACTATGGCATCAATCTCAAGTACTGTGATATCGCCTCTGTATAGGGAGACTTTTTCACTAAGACTTTTCTGCATCAAGAAAGCGTCATTGGTGTTGTCTTCATCACTTTGGGCTTTGTTTTTCATTTCTTCCTTCCATGTTGGAATATCTTTCAAGGGTACATAATCCCATAAATATTCTTTACATCTCTCTTCCAATGTCATCTTCAACAAACGTTCTTTCTCCTCCCACCAGAGCTTTTTCTGCTTGTTCTCGGGGTACATGGTGCTGTGGCTAGCGGCAGCTTTGAGCTGCAGGTTCCCCAGGCTCACAGGTGACGGAGAAGCACGCTGACCTGGCTGGGCCTAGCTTGCCAAGTTTGAAGACCCTTTTCTAACCTGTCCTTCTCCCTTTGTTTTTTCCTGCCTAAGTGTAAAACCTTGCTTTTCTCCCAGGTCATTTCATACAAAGATGTATTGGAATGGCAGCAAATGGAGCAACTAGCAAATACTTGGATTAAGTTTGCTGCTACCCAAATAACCAAGCTTTTGGGGGGAATAAACTGGATTTTGATCTAAGCAGAACGCTTCTACACGCCACAAGTCTTTGTTGCTTCTCCCAGATGGTAAACTCAAAATGGCAACCAGAAGCGGCGAGTTGAGGCACCGTCTTCGCAGCACATGACGTAGCTCCACCCCGATTTCCTCCTCAGACCCCGCCTCCTCCTTCCCCTCCCCGCCGTCACTCCCGCTCCACCAATTGCGTCACAAGGACCCAATAGCTCGCTCGCCTCTTCTCCCAGAGGGGCGGGGCGGGGCGGGGCAGCGAGCGGCAGCGCCCCTCGCGGCTTGGAAAGTCCGCCTTCTTTCCCCGCGCCTCCTTCACCCAATTTTTTTTTAAAAAAAATATTCGTCGCACCCAGCATCCGGAAGCCAATCCCGTGTCGCTTGGAGGCGGAGAGTGGCAGGCGCCGCCGCCAATGGAGTAACCAAGGCGGCGGCCCGCGAGTGGGAGGAGCCTCCGGCGGCGGCGTGAGGTGTGTGAAAGGTCGTGCCTTGAAGGGCGGGGGGAAACGTCTTGATGGGAGTCGTTATCTGGCCGGGAATCGGCGGGAGCGCCGGCGTCGGGACCGCACAGGTGAGGCCAAAAGCGGAGCCGCGAGATAGGACAGGTGCCCATCCGTCCGCCAGCTCGAGATCCGGAGGCGCCCCCCACATCCTCGAGCCCCCCTCCATTTCGACTCCCGTGGATGCGGCTGCAATTATCCCTTCGCTCTTTTTCTCTGGCGTTCCTCCAGAGGGGCTGGACTACAACTCCCATCATGCCTCAGCCAGCCGGTTGGGATGCCTTGCCTTGACATCTCCCTGCCTGCAGTTTCCTCTCTTCCATTTGCATCCCGCCTTGGGTTGGGGAGGAGGAGGACGCTGCTTGCTCGGAGAGCTCTAGGCACCTCCATGAGGGAGGGGGGAGGCGGCTGATTTTACCTTCACGACAACCCTGTGAGGTAGGTTGGGGGGAGAGAGGAGAGAGAGGGGGAATGTAACTGACTCGTGAAGGACACGTCACGTGTGAAATTGGACCGGGGATTGGGGGGTTTGGTCCCTTTACTCACTTTATTCGGGGTGGGGGGGAGACCTTCTGGCTTTTTTTATCCACTCTCCTAACCTGCCTCCCACCCACCACCCACCCTCTATTTTATTTCAAGGATACTTTAATTTAGGGAATTTTTCTAAATGTGTCCAAGGGAGACATAATGTGTGTGGTTTTTTTAAAAAAAGGTCTCTTCCAAAATTTTGGTATAACTGATAAAATTATTGGGGGCAGAGAAATCTACAGGTTTGCTGGTAATCAAAAACAACTTGGTTTAATAATATGCCATTTAATATGGTATATTATTTATAGATCTTTTTAAAAAAAAGATCTTTTCCAAAATTTTGAATGGTATAACTGATACAATTATGGGAGGGAGGGAATCTACAGGGTTGCTGGTAATCAAAAACAACACGGTTTAATAATATTCCAGTTAATATGGTATATGATTTATAGTCTAAAATATTTGTACCCCCAGACAACCTGCTTGATCCATTTGAAATTGGAATTTTTATAGGCTATAAAAAAGATAAAAACTTGAAATAATAATATAAAATGTAATAATGTGCAAAAGTCATACTTGGGTTGAGCGTCTCAATGCACTTGAGAGTCAGCCTGCTCGAAGGATCAATAATCACAACATCTTAAGGGGCGGGGGGGAAATAGGTAGGTCAGTTGCTTAGGTCTACCAGGAGATGAAATTTCAGGCTATCTCAGAAGGTTTTAAGGAAGGTGGACCAAGAGCTCTCCTGGATTAACTGAAGACCCTTCTAATCCGGGATCTACATCTTCCTGAATGTCTTTATGGGAATTCCAAGTTTCTTTGAGGTTTAATTGATTTTGGATTATCACTTTAATCCCATACATGAACAATCTACAGGGGCTCCAATAGCCATTATGAAAAACCATATTTATTTTCACTTCCCACTTTTTCCTCTTCCAGGGCAGTGTTTTCTGATTGTACTCTTTCCCCCTCCTTATCCTCTTGTTTGTCACTTTATGAAGCTGTTCACATTAGAATACTAGTAGCTTGCTTTGAGACTTGTGTGTGCTGTGGCTCACTTTACTCTGGCATGGTTTTATAGATGGCATTACACTCATCCTTTCTCTTTTCCCCCTCCTGGTCTTTCCACTATATAGAAGAGAGACAATAAAAGGAAAATACAAAACTACTGTAGAAAGTTTTAAATGAAATACCTATTTTGCAGAGTAGATAGGAGTGTTCTCAGTTCTAGATGATACTTCACAAGCCAGTTGGATTAAAATTAAAAAGGCAACTTTAATTAGATGCTAGGTAGGCAAATTGTGTAGTCTGTAAAGATGGTGTTTTTTTAAAAAAAATATACAGTAGATTTTTAAATGGAAGCTGGAAGTGTACCTTGTAGAGATGTTAGAGCCAGTTTGGCATTGTGATTAAGCTGCTGGCCTAGAAACCAAGAGTCTGGATCAGAGTCCCCGCCTTAGTCTTGAAAGCTGGCTGCGTGACTTCACAGTGATGGTGGTGTAGAGAAAATAAGAGGCACCAGGAAGAGCTATTAAGTATGTACATTGCCTACATAGATGAATAGATAGGATAAAAATATAATAATGTTGCAACTTCAAAATAATCTGCAGTAGTAAGTTATCTGCATTAGCAAAGATGGAGTTTGATGTCCTTTGAAAGACTTCCAACTTTGTCTTTGTTAATGGTTCCTGCGCTGCATGTTTCCTATTATTTCTTGAGTTAAGGGGGGGGAGAGAATAATGCGTCCACACCCTCTTTTTTTGGCCATCGTCCCAAAGTTGAAAAGTGGTTTCACCCAAGTTGTTTTTTGCTTCAGGAATTCTTTGACATTCCCTTTTCAACCATATTTGACAACTTAATGAGTAGTTATTTTAGCTTTTAATTCTTACGTCACATGTACCTCTCCCATCCCACGTAGCTCAGCTGTGTGCAGCCTATTCTTTAATGGATTTTTATGAGTCTTCGCTATTTAATTGGCTTATTTAATGTTATTTAAGTACTATGCCAGGAAAAAAATTACACAATCGCTTATAAAGTGTGTTAGTCCAATTAATGTGTGAGGAGGCCTAGACTAGATACATCTTGCCTGCAGGTACAAAAACACTTTGGTTCTCCTCTGAAGTTAATTGTGTTAGCAATTTAATAGTTCTGTTGGATTGGGTAAGCAAATTCCTCTGGTGTCTTGCACTGAATATCACTGCTGCTGTACAGCTTGGTTTGCTGTCCTGATATAAATCCTGATCATGATGTCTTGGAATCACTATCAGAATAGAGAAATGAGTTCAACGGCATGCTTTTGCCTATTCAGTCAACACAGAGTTGCAATGACTCTTTTGTGATTCCTGGCTTTTCAAACAAACAGTTGGCAATGTTTTTTTTAATCTAACAATAATCATAACATTCTCACAGATGATCTATTTATTACCTTGCATTTAATAAGCATTAAGATGCCAAGATAGAGGCTATGGGAAGGTCAGAAAATAATTCAATTGCCAAGTATTTTATTTTTCGAAACCTTCCAAATCACTTTTAACGCAAAATATTGCAATATCTTTTGGTAGATACTTTTTCTTCTATTTCTTGATATTGTCTACTCTGTATTTCAGCTGTAGGCATTGTTTTCTGACACTTTCTGGTGAAGCATCTCCAGTTTCAATTCATGTATTCCTTTCTTGCATTTAAAATGATGTATTTTTTCTTTTGACAAATTACTTGTATAAGATATCCACTTTTGTTGAAAAAGCATGGGTTTGAATCTCTTTTTCTTGCTTTGGTCATATAACAAATCTTCAATGCCTCTCTAAAAATGCTGCTTTAAAAACATTTCTCAGATTTGATTGGGAGTTTATTTTGTTTATATGAGATAGGGGAATTTGGGCCAGATCTGAAATGACTGAAAGCATTCTCTTTTATTGCTCTTCAGACAGTTTAACAATATGGTATAAAATTTTAACACATCTACAGCTTTTTTATTGAGACAACAGATTTGTAAAGGGTTTGACTGGCTTTTGTCATGATGATTAACAGAAGGAAGTCTTTCCTTTGCGCTAAGAAAGCTAGGTCCAGAAATTTGATTTTTTCTAATTGTACTTTTGAAAATACAGATTGCATATGAATATACTTTCTTTCCAGGGAGAAAATTGGCATATTAAAGGGAAAGGTAATTGTCTCAGATATTGCTAGCATTTTTCAGATGAAATAAAGGAATGACCATCTTAGAGGTTATGGGATGAGTAAGGCAGATTACCAGAATTCTTGTATCGGTAATTGTAGTAAAAATAAAAAGTTGCCTCATACAAATTTAAGCCATTGGGATGTCTGAGAGTGGCTGCAAATAAACTTGTGCCAAGAATCAATGAGTGATATAAATGAGAACTTGAAACCATATTACTAAAACATAGAATAATAGGTTGGAATCTTGGAGGCTTCTAGTCCAATTCCCTGCTCAAGCAGGAGACCCTATAGCTGTTTGATAGCTTTATATATTTTCTGTTTTACTTTGACTAACTTACTCCATTAAAATTGTACATTAACTGTATATATGTTGTACATTCACTGTATATATACACACAGAGAGACAGATAGATATATATAAAACATGCCCACAATGCATTTGAACTTTCTGTGATGTAAAGTATAACAAAAACGAAGAACTCATTGCTATCATTGCTATATAGCAATGTTAGGAAT